CAGACTTTATGAAGTAGATTTCAAATTGAATTTTGTTTATCTTTTTGTATTCTTTTTAGTCATACCTACTAACTTCTACTACTCTACTAAAATAACGAAATAAAACACACCACGTGTTTTTGAATTATTATTCGCTTATAGCGAACTCCGGATATAACAAACCAGTTTTAGTTCATTTTTCATGTTTGTTATATCCGGATTCAACTGTATGTTGTTTTATGTCATTATCAATAAGTTCCAGGTTGATCGTTTTTGTCAATAATAGCAAGTATCTGTCAAATTATGATTTAGTTTGAAGCTTCTTTTACAAAGTGTACACCAATATCGAATATGCGGATTTGAAACATTCTGGAACCCTAGCAGAAATGCCCTAAAGACCGATCACAATCTCCCATTACAATAATGTAATGTATTGCTTGTGTCAAGCAAAGACGAAAATTAAAACATTTGCGAAATGCCATTAGGATGCGACAAATTTATCGCTCCTAATCGATTAGGCGACAATAATAAATAAGCATGTAATATTAATTTAAGTAATTAATCGTGAAACAAAGCGGGGTTTTCTTATCGGTCTTCTTAAAATAAACTTATCAAATCTAAGTAACAACAAGCGCAAGAAGCCAAAGGCAATGTCAATTAATTAAGGCAACAAAGTTTTGAACAATCAAAATCCGCTTAACGTGTCTGTCACGTGCTACGCGCTGAGCGCTCCGCGCATTTCTTCGTGAATTAATTCGGTGCACTCTTGAGTGCACTCGGCGACGTACGCTCCTGACTGCCTGCCCTGAGAGCAATAAGTAACACATAATTTCACAATGAAATCGTAATGCGACGCGCGTGGACAAGAGAGGAGACATTGAGAGATTGGAGAGAGACGGCCAATGCCACTGCCGGAAGAGTGGGGACGAATGTAGGGGAATACAGGCGACGTGATTCAAGGACCATGCGACACCGTCGCAGAGCATTGTTGCCAGCAGCGCAAAAAAGTATTCAGTTTTTTGGCTGTCGCTTAAATTGTTTGCGTGATTGCTTAAAACCGGTGTCAATGCCATGTAACTGCTTTATTTAGACAGATTACGTTTCCGTGTAGTTTTCTCTTTAGGGTCTAAGCGGGGAAAAAGTGGTGCAGCATTTAGAAAGCCTCGTTCTGAGAAATTATCGATAACAAGTCATCGTTATGGTCATTGACCTCTCCAATAAAGTTATTTAGTGGATGCAAATAATTTGTCATTGACGACTAAGCATGGCATGGAAGCATAAAATTTGAAATATACAGCAGAACAGATCAAACCTCCAACACTTACGTAAATTAATTCACAGGTGTAAGAACTGAGTGTCAGTCTTCAACATCTAGCCTGCAATCTTACAAAAGGAAAGAACATGGAATTTCGTCTGGAGGGTCGTATTGTTATATTCCAAGAAGGGTTTTGAGCATCTTAGAACCGATTATATTGCACTCGACCTACAGAGGGCACTAT